ACACACACACACACACACACACACACACACACAGATGTTTTACTCCATTTAAGCCAATCCTGCAATAACTCAAAATTGAAAACCAACTCATAACTTCCATCCATACCTTCCTCCACCTGAGATAGTAAACCTATAACCCTCCAGGCATACCCTTGAAAGGAAAAAAAGATATAGTTTGACTTTTAGAATAGGAAAACTTGTTAATAAATACAAGTGCTGAAACCACACTTTTTGGGTAGTCCTAATACAGTTTCTTCAGCTATCAAATAAAATATTGGGGCAAACATGAAATAATAAACATCCCACACCAGAAACTATTCTCAGATTTTATAACAATGCTTATCAATGTTAAACAGCAAATGGAGCAGTCGGCTCTGATTTTCAGTCATGGAGTCCCCTGGCAGATGTTAAAATAATGGCATAATGGGATCTGATCCCCTATTCAAACAACAATGCGAACTGCCACGCACATGTGGTTTACTCTGCAACTCCCTTTGGAGCTGTGGTGTAAAGCAACCAACGTGGAGCAAGCCCTATGGCTTGCCCCAACCCGGAAATTTAAAGACCCTTTCCCTACACCTCCCAAGGGAACAAATCTGTACTTAGCTAGGCTATTGGGCAAAGGGGAGGTTTAGAAGTCACCAAAGCAGGAGGGGGCCCCTCACCTGTCCTGGATAGAAGCCCTGCTCCTAACCCCACCTAGGTTGCAAGGCTCCCATTAAAATAATGTTGCAATTGGGATCAGTCCGACCCAAACAATTGCAGGTCCTGACATGCACGTTGGCACGGCCCCAGAGAGAAAAGGCAAATCAGACTTTTTTTTTTAAACCTGGATAGAACATGCTTTTCCCTCTAGGCTTCAAACAGATAAACACTGAGGTGGTATTACAATAATATACACATACAATTTACCATATTTACTTGAATCCAAGATGAGTCATCTTTGCTTCCCTTCCCCAATAGTGAGAAAGAGAAGCCTCCTCTTAAATTTGAGTATAGCCCAGGCCAGATGGCTGTTGTGGCTACAGCTCCAACCCTGACCAACTCCTGCCCTGGCCCCAGGGAGACCATGCATTCCTGGGAGGACAGAAGCATGGGGAAGATCACAGTGGCATAGGAACTGCAGGGGCTTGGGCTCTGGCACTGACCTGGAGCTGCTGCAGCTCAGACTCCAGGATTAGGGCTGGGAATGGAGCTGCTACTATTGCTTGGCCAGGGCCACAGCTGGAGCCGCAGATGCTGCCTAGGGTAAACACTGGCAGGGGTAGGCACAATGGGAACAAGCACAGGGGTGGGGGCAATGGGGGAGAGGGTGGCAGGAGAAGACAGGCAAACAGGCACTAAGGGACACAAAGAACAGAGGGCAAGCTGTCTGTCCTTCCCCACTGCTTACTCCCACACCACTGCTTTCTTCACCTTAACAATGGGAGGGGATAAGTTTAAAATAATCCCCCATTAATTAGAATTTTATACATGGAAAATTATAAAATTTGTTATAATTGTTCATGTACCAAATCTAATTATTGGGGGGTCGTCTTACATTCAGAGTTGTCTGGAATGCAGGCAAATGCAGTATATTAAAAAAAAACCCATTAGCAGGTACCTACTGTGTAAAATTTCAGTCCAAAGAGTTGAAGTTTGACAACATAATATGTAACTGAAAACAGTCTCATAACAGAGTGTCAGTCAGGCCACATTAAGAAGCAGTGCTGTTAGCCCTTCCTATACCATATTTTCCCGAACACAAGACAAGGTTCTCCTCCACCCCCCAATCAGCATGTGAAAAAGTCCCTCATCTTATATTTGCAAGCAAGGAAACCTCATTAAGTACATTGTCTATTATTAAACTACTACCAAAAGTAGCATTCACTCAGCGATAGAAACCTCTTATGAAGTTGATTTAATATAGCCAACACTGCACATAACTATAAAACACATGGCCTACACTGGACAAATTGGTGGGAACCTACTGCAAAGACAGGTTAGTGCAGCCTATCTGAACAACATATATGGTAGTGCCCACTGCACACACTTCCCCTCAGCACCAACTCTACTGCAAGCCATGGTAAGCCACTGCACTCATATGCAGCTGGTAAACTCAGACTGGTGGGGCAGCTGGAGCACCCCATGGAAGCAGAGGGGGCTGACAGGTTTGCAGCCAACCAGGAG